GAAAGAAAGAAAGAAAGAAAGAAAGAAAGAAAGAAATGACGCCTTTGTTCTGAAGGTCTCACCATGTGGTTGTGCTGGTGACCCACTGCGATGGCACTGACTGTCTGAGCCTGCAGGTGAGTCTTTACCTGGGAAGAAAACAAAGTTTTTGAAGCAGATTGTATATAATACTGCCATTTCAAAGTCCAGACAAAACCAGACATGTCCCTAAATGAGATGGTGCTGTGCAAAGTTTACAGGTACTATAACTCTGTCAATGATCAGCAGTGTGTTGAATTAACCTGCACCTTTAAAGGAACCGGATAAACACATTCAGTCATTTTATTAGGCTCTAACCAAAAGACTGGCGCAAAAATAAATGAATAGGAGTCTATAATATGAAAATAAAATCTGCTCCTGTTTATTTCAGGAGCATACAGTAGATGTTTGGCAGCACTGAATGAAGCTGTGTTTAATTTAGTGACCCAGATACAAACATGTTCACACCATATTATCTTTCAGAGGCTTGGGAAAGGTTATGATGGGTCAGAATGCCTCGACTGGCAGCTGGAGCAGAAAAACAACAAACAAACACTTCAGATAAATTTWAAAACGTCATATTCTGAACTCTGTCACATTTCTCCTCCGATCAGATCTGTTCAGGTGTTGTTTTGCTTCACAAACACCTGCTCAAAGATATTTTWAAAAAAATCCTGTTTGTGTGGCTCAACCCGTCTTTAAGGAACTCTTTCTAATATTGCTGCAACCGGCAGTTTGAATTATTTTTAGTACAGCTCTTTGTGAGATTGACCTACTTATGAAGCAAAATAAAATTGCCAATTTAGACAGCTGAAGCTTCTTTTAATCTAAATAGTTAAACAACAGATGAGCTAATGGCTAGCCTGAGAGTGTGGGAAACACTGAAGTAGATAGCTGCTACCTTAAAACTTCATTCTCAAAAATAACTATCTAATACCAGTTTATTTGAAAGATTTCATTCATTTTTACTTTGCTATTTGCATCAAATTACACATTTATTTAAATCAAAATGTCCCAGGCTGCATTGAAGTGCTACAGTTTGTGAGAACAAAATCTCTCAGACAGGCAAAAACCATATCATGAGAAACTGACATCAATGTTTATAAAATCTATTTGTATAAATTATAAAGATTGGAGTTGTTTTAAGGTGGCAGGAATCCAGTTTGGTCTTGGACTAGCCATTAGCTCAATCTGGCTAAAGTTCGCTTTTCTTTTTCCAAACTGAGGTTGTTTATAGGGCTATCCATAACAGGTAAGATATTTTTTATTCATTATAACCTTTCTGCAAAATCCAACACTGCAGTCGTAACCTCTTGGTGTATATAAGTCTCTTTATTGTGGACTGTGCCATAAAAAACTGACACATCCTGTTGGAATACATTTAGTCCTGAATGCAGAAAAAACTTTTGCTTTGTTGCATAAATTAAACCAGGAGCTGCTAACGGTCTGGCTGTGGAAACAGGATAACATCACATAAATTCACCTGCAGCCTCCTCTTAGATTTGTTTGTTTGTCTGAGCTGCTGATGGACCGATTTGGTGTTCTTTAATTTACCAGTATCTTAAACTAAGGATGTTTTCTGCCAATGATACAGGTTTCAAATAACTTTTGGGTTTAATTTATGACCTACTGGACACATAAAGTGTGAAATCTTTGCAAAGGACACACAATGAACAACTCTAAAAAAAAAGAACAAAAACCTTTCACAGTCTGAAGGCAGGTCAGGTTGATAAATATCTCTTTGAATAAGAAAATTAATTATTCAAACTGGCATTGCTGTTAGCTCCAACTCACCAGGTAGGCGGGGGAAGCGATGAAGGCCCCCAGAGCCCCGGCCCCGGCTCCTGACAGCAGACTGCCCCCGTGGAACGAAGTGATGCCCAGAGCTTCGCAGCAGGAGTACGAGCCCAGCCTGACTCCYTTCATCACACCCTGATAGATCAGTCCAACAGAGAGCCCTTTCTGCAGGCCCCGGAGCCCGTCTGTGCGGCCCACCACCCAGAGTGCCTGCAGGACTCCCCGGTAGTGCATCTGGTAGGACCCCCTGGCACAGAGCTCCCCCTGAAGCTGCAGACGAGTCTTCACCACTTCCAGAGGGTTGGTGAACACGCAGGCTGCACAGCAGGCCAGAGCGCCCAGGGCAAAGTCTAGAGGGGGCCAGACAGCTGGAGGGGCAGGTGAGGGGCCAAAAACGGTGCAGGGGACRGCAGAGGACGCCATCCTGTGGGAAAGCTGGCCCCCAAATACAGGATCTTTGGGTGAAGTTTTCAGCAGCTGAGTCACCCCTGAGTGATCCATGAAGCTGGTCTGTGTTAAAAGTCTGGTTGTCACGAGTGTTTCCTACCTGTTCCAGCACATAAAATAAGAAAATACATTTATTTATCACCCACTACGGTCATTTATAGCCTACTTTGCATGTTTGTCRTCTGACAATCTGTTGGTGATCAAGCAAATGGGTTTCAATTACTGAAGTTCAGCCTTGTTTCCACAAACCCAGCCCTGCATATCAGGGCTGAGTCAGAGCCAGTTTCAGAGCCTCCTCTTCATTCAAGACAAAAGTTTGCACTGAATCCAAAGACGTTTTAGCTCCATTAAAAAGGGGTTATTTAAGAAAATTCATCCTGCTGCCAAACTTTTCAGTAAATACACACACACAAAAAAGTTTCCAACTCAGATACAGCAACTTCATGTAGCAACACATCAAGAGGAAAACACACCTGCAGGAATGAAAACTGAGCACAGACATGACCTCCAGGAGCATGACTGCTCTTCACAATGTGCTGACACGTCAAAAGAAACTCACAGTGTCCGGGTGATCCTCTGCTGCTCCATTCTTCCTCTGWCCCCCATGTGTCCTGTCCTCCCAGCAGAAGTCCATTGTCAAAGTCTCCTCCTTCTGCTWCACCTCGCAGCCAATGCTGCTCCAGCGCTGCCTGCCACCTCATCCCTGTCAGAGGACTGCACCAATCAGATGCCTCTGCTGCAGACTGCCCCCCTGCTCTGACTCTCTCTGGGTAAAAGGTTACTGATTCATAGAAAGGAGGGAGGGGGGAGGTGTGTCGGGGTGGGGGTGTCTGTAGAGAAAGCAGGCCAAGAAGTGTCAAAACAAAACAAGGCCAAGGTGCTAAAAAAATCAATATAATTTACTTGATCTTTGAGGCAAAACAACCAAAACCTATGTATGATTTCTGCTCAAGGTCACTTTTTATTGATGTTGGTGTTAATATTTATAAATGTTTTTTTTCTTACATTTCTGACACCTTTTGCATATAAAAAAATATGATGGCTGATCTGTTCAATTGTAGTGTTTTAATAGTGAAAACAATTTTAAAATCAAACTTAATTGCAGTTTAGATGACTCATCTGTGCTCCTTTTTTTCCCTCCTGTGTGCAAAGAAAGCTCACTAGAGGGTGATATTTTGCTAAGTAAAACAGCAGGGGACCTCTGAATTTATTAAAGCGATGCAAAAAAATCTACATGAACTTAGTACTAAAAGGAAGAAAATTTGCGTTTGATTACTTCTTTGTTGTAACAATGCTTCAGCGCGTCCATGAAAAACCTGTCAAATCTTCTCTGCCAGTGTCYAACAGCTTTAGATGCCTTTTTGCTTTTGACTCGTTTCATTTTTTTTATTTGGTTGGTTATTCAAGGAAAAAAAAGCTATATTGGGAATTTAACAATTTACTCATTTAACAAACAGGGGCCTCAGTGGCACGTGGAAGATCCATACACAGCCACAACTTGGCACTTTCTCATGGTGCTCAGCAACTTGACTTGTTCCTTCTTTTTAGGCGGTTTATATTTCAAGACAGCAATGGGGTGGGGGGGGGGGAAGACACCTTCTGACATTTAGTATTGTTTAAGTGCTTTTACTCACGTTTCGTTATGTTCTATTGTTGATGGGAATTAATTACTCAAAAGCCTGTTAGATATAGACGATTGAATAACTTTTAATGAYGAATAAAAACTGTTTTGTTTAAAATTACAACATACCCAATTCAAGGCACATGATTAAATTCAGGTAAAATTTTTATATCTCAGCTTACTTTTTTTAACTTTAAAGAGTGAAAAGATGTGACATCTTTTCACATTTATACAATTTATACAAATTCAGTCCACACCTCAACACACCAAATCTCGGGTCACAAAATAAATTTGAARAAAAACCTGCAAAACCTGTTACAAGTGAGGCACAATTAGTTTAAATTCTTTTGTACTCAATAATTAGATGCCCACAATACAGTAAGTTTTATTTTATTTAAACGAAAAAGAAACTTTGTTTCCAATAATCACTCCTGTCTCTTGTTTACAAGATATTCCCTACTTTATATTCTTAAATTTAAACAGTAGTTCTTTTATGATTGGTACAAAATAGTTAGAATTTACCTAGAGGATCAAACCAAAAAAATAAAACTTATAAAGTTTATTACATTTATTTGACAGAAAGAAAAAAATATTTTCTAATTGTACGCATGTTTCCCACTTCCGAATTAAATTTGCTGTGTTCTGCAAGTTAGTAATGTTTTAATGTAATAGTTCAGATTTTTTAGATGAAGCTCTGTAAAATGACCAAAAACTGTTATCTTCCTTGTTTTGGGAAACTCTTTGAAAATCAGTTCAGAGGATTAGATTAATTCTAGAGAAGAATTCAGTATACAGTATTATCAAACAATTTCAGAKTAGACCATGAAAAAGCTATTTTAAACCTTTACACTGCCGTCAAGTTTGCATTAGTTATTTACATTGGGTTCTATGACTATTTGAACATGTGAACTGAAGCAGCTGCTAGCAGTAGCACCTATGATTCAAAAAGCTTTAGCTTTGGTTCTTCTACTATAACCATGTAACGTGAAACTGATGAAAACTTAAAGGGTATTGCACGAACCACATTATAATGTTCGAAATCTGATTAGACAGAAATCTACTTCAGACTGCTAGCTCGCTAATCTGGTCAGGATTAAACTGTTTTCCCGGAGTTAAGACATTAATTATAAATTGTTTTCATTTCCCACATAACCAGGCTTCAYAAGATCTAAACCTAAAGCAGAAACCGCAAAAAATTTTCGACAGAGCAGACATGGAGGTCTTTATTGTTCAACTATGCTTATAGTACAGTGCCACATCTCTGAGCCACTGTGGCCCCCGACAAACATTAGTCAACAACTTTATACTGCCGCTGTGTACACACAAATACACACACGCACTCACGCCATCTTCAATGTAAACATRGCAGGCTTAAAGAGTTATGGAAAAAGCAAGGCAGTTATTGAACATTTTGCTCTTTCAGTTTCTCTTTTTAAAAGTTCTGAGGGGGTAAAACACACGAAAGATGTTATTTTTTTGTTCGTTTGTTTGGATGCTCACCATTTGGGGAATAACAAAACTAGTCCAGTTCCCTCTTTTCACTAGTCACAAACATACGCACACACAGACGAGGTTCTCATTCAGGCAAAGATTTTATCAAAGTGTAGTTAAAGTGTTTTGGAACGCTTGCGGTAGGCAGAAGGGACAATAGTGAATTTCTTAAGTGAAACATCTAGCAACAATAATGTTTTTATTCATCGTCCTTCCTACAGGAAAAAGGCCTTGGTGTACAGTAAGTTCCCTCATTTTGTCACAGGATGGAGCATTCCTGTTCCCTGCCTGAAGCTGCATTACCTTTTAGCACGCACAAAGTACAAGGCGTTGGTTTTAGGGTAGTACTTTGCATTTTGTTTTTTGTCCATGAGACCCCCAAAAATGATGAGCTCCCCTCTGCCCTGTACCACAGTGTGAAGGCTGGTCTCCGGAGGTCCCGTGACCGCAGCGGGAGTCCCATTACCGTAAACCTTCCAGGACACGACCCCACAGGATTTGGCCCGGGACACGTCCAACACGTACATCTGCATGGGCTTACAGTTCAGAGACTGATACAGGGGCTTCCCCACATTCAGGCTCTGAGGTGGGTGATGGCCCAGGCGCCGCGCTATAGGRGGGATAGCATGTCCGTCAGCTACGGCAGCTTGTGGGGGGCTGGAGGAGGATGGAGGCGTTCCTCCTCCCCCGCCGCTGCCTCCTGCGGGAGAAGCCCCCTGTGTCTGAAGGGAAGACGACGACGAAGGTAAAGATGAGGAAGATTTGTTTTTCACGGCCTCCAGCCCTCGCCGTAAGGCAGCAGGGGACACCGCTCCGGGGGGTGTGTGTGGGGAGCTCGAGGGAGGCGTGTGCAGGCCGTTGGTGCTTGGAGCCTCGGGGTGATGGACGGCAGAGGGAGGAGACTCCCAGCCATAGTCTGTGGAACCAGGGAGGTGAGGGCGAGAGGGGGGAGACCCTCCCTGGGCCGGGCTTGTCCGAGGAGAAGGAGATGATCCGTTTATCAGGGGAGGAAGTGGAGGAAGAGGAGGGCTGTCTGGGCCTTGTGAAGGGGATGGCTGTTGGGATGAAGATGGACTCCCATCTCTGGCCCCTCCTCTAGCTGAGGGCCGAGGTCTCAGKGTGCCCCATCGACCGTTTACGCACGGGGCCTCTTCGGCGGCTCCCAGCACGACACCGGCAGCGCCGCTTCGAATGGGAGACTGAGAGCGCAGGGAAGGCGGCTCGGGGCCCAGGGGGGCAGGTGTGGCACTTATCGGAGAGGGTCGAGAATTYAGACTCGGGCTGAGCGGCGCGCGGCCCGACGGAGCCTGTGAGAAAACCACCACACACTGGCCCACCTAGGAGCACAAGAGCATGTTTAGAAAACAAYTCATAGAAAACCCAACAGAATAAACAACTGTGTGAAAAACGTACCCTGCACGCTGGGTGACACCACAACTCAGGAGCTCCATGTTCCTCGTTCTCCACCTGCAGCTGCTGCCACCGCCATGTAGGGGTGTCCATGTGGAGGAGCCACGCATCTTTCAGGAGCTTTTAAATCAGACAGAAAAAAGCTTAAGCTATGTTTCTTTCTCATATATTGAAAAGACTTAGACACCGAAGTGATAATTAAACAAAAATACGTACTGCATTAGGGCCTCCGCAGCCTCCCAAGATGAGCAAAGTCTTATCATCAATAACGATCTAATAGAAAAAAAAAACATGCTATTTCTTTTCACACAAATAATACTATTTCAAACAAGAACCGATTAATCCTCAGTTTGAAAACTGAAACCTTCTTACRTGAGACTGGCCTCCTCGTGGGTGGGGTGATGGACCTGATATTAGTGGTTTGGACCAGGACCACTGCTCCAGATCCAATACCCAGACTTCATTACTCCTGTTAAAAAAATAATATTACAAAACATGAACATCACCACAGACATTTTCTTTCCCTGAGGCTTTGTTCACACAAAAAACTGTGAAAACCTAATTTCCTGCTTTYCACACTGCTTCTTGACTGTATGTAGTTTTCACTGATAATGTGTCAGAGTCTACAAGTAAAGAGTTTATTACTGCTGTGGCAATGAAATTTAAGTGTTAAAGTTTAAAGGGATCCATGATTAGTTGTAACATTAGACTTTATTTAATAAACATATARTTTAACTGTAAAATAAAGACTGTAAAAATACTGTAGGCTGTTTAGTTTTTATCATTTTTAACCTAAAAGTTCAAAAGCATTAGCCCTGACATTATCACCATATATATGTGTTAGCTCAGCGCTACACATTCCCCTCTCTTCACTGAGGTCCTCCATCCACGACAGAGAGGGGAACGCAAAAATGACTCAGCCTGCAACTGAAAATATAGATGGAGGACCTCAGTTTAGCTTGTTAGCTTGTCGCGCTAGTGCTGAGCTAATAAATATAAGGCAATATAGCGTCGGCGCTAGCGCAAAGACTAACAGGCTGAGCTGAGGTTCTTCTTCCATGAAGCAGCTCTGTTGTCCTCCATCCATATTTTCAGTTCCAAGCTGAATCATTTCTACCTTCTCCTCTCTGTCAACGCTCTCTGGTTTCATTTAAAAGAGTTGATCATCAGATATTGTCCAAGATTAACCTTCAGGGTGGATATAGCTCGTTCACACCGAGGACCTATCCACGTCATCATTTACCCAGAATGCTTTGTGTGTAAATAAAATGGCCCTGTCTGTGTTAAAATATATTTTTAAAAATTTACAAAACTAAACAGCCTACAGTATTTTTACAGTCTTTATTTTACAGTTAAAATAAATGTTTATTAAATACTGTAAAGTCTAATGTTACAACTAATCAGGGATCCCTTTAAAGTAAATCTATTTGCAATATCTTTAGTTTGATTTGAATTATGGGAAAAAAAACACAACCTAGGGGCTTTTTATTTGCCTTGTAGAATCAAATCAACATTTTAGTTGTTCTTTTTTATTTTGATCTATTTTCGTGTTTCAGATGCTGTATTTTGTATATATATGATGAGTTAGGATCASTTTGAAATAAACTGTACATACATTTGACGTGCTCCTAAAGAGCCCCCAAACACCACCATTGTGTTCCCGATTACAGATGACGAATGGCCGGCCATGGGTGGAGGTCCGTGWGTTGTTACTATACAGTTCCACCTGAGCAAAAAGATAAAATAACGATAAGAAGTTATAATGAATTTTCAACGTTTCATATAGTTTGTCTCAGCCACACCCTCTGAAACCCATCTCACCAGTTCTTTGATGGTGAATAGGTGTGGATTTCATCAAAAAACCTTTCTGGTTGGTGCAGAGGGTAAGGGCTGGGCCGTGTCCATCCACCAAACAGCACTAACAGATCTTTGTGCATCACTAGAGTCGCTCCYGCTTTAGGAGATGGATAGGAGCCTGTAAAATAAAATAAACAATAATGACGACAATAAATGAAAATCATATGTTCAAATCACAGGTTTTGGAGAGCATCGTTCACACTGCAGGTCTTAATGCTCAGATTTATATCAAATTTTAAAAATGTATCTCTATCATGTTTCCCTGCATTGTGAATGTAGTCTAAATATGCAAACATGTCAACTTGTACGGATTGTCCATAAGTTATAAGGATTTTACGTCATTTTGCAGGTATACGGACGTACAGAGCAATCTCACGGATTTTTTCCAAGTCTTATGGATATTTTCAAAACCTCATTTTCAAATTTATCCAACATGTCAGAGCGTGCAGGATGATTTAAAAAACAGTAAATAACATCAAACAGCCATCTTCCAACCTGTCCTGCTGCGAGAAATAAGTTTTGAACTTTTTCCTCTCTCCTTTCCTCCTGCTTCGCAGCGGGCGCTTTCATGTCRGCAGCTGACAGGAACCCACCCGCGGGTGCGAGTTGCATGGATTTTTTGCAAAATTTACAGATTTTTGAGGATCTTTAAACAGGTAAACGTTCAAAGTGGTTGACATGTATGAATATGCTTTTAGAAAACATACAGGTTCTAAGTCTGTCTGGAGCAATACAATACAAATGTATAAAAAAAAACCTTGGGGCATGTGTCTAATTTGACTGATAAATCCTAGATATTGTGCTTTAGGCTGCTGCTTCTWCACATCTGACTAATGTGTTCCTTAATTATGAGGTTCTCACCTGAGGCCAAAGGTCGGATCCATTCCTTGCTGTTGAGGTCAAGTCTCCACAAATCATTAAAGGCAGCATTGCAGCTACTCTGAGTGCAGCCCCCAAACACATACATGGACTGATTTGAGTCATAATAACATGCACCTGCAATATTTCATGAAAAATAAAAGAGAATCAGGGAGTTAACAAAACTCTGTAAATAGAGAACATTTGTACACAAAATGTGAAGCTGGTGATAAAACTAAACCAAAACATAAGTTTAACTTTTTAAACTGTATTTAAACAGTTTTATTTTTATGTTGCTAAAAGTGCATCTAGGGCCTGGCATTGCAATGTCCAGCCTAGGCTATAAATGTTTAAGTGTATGGAATTGTCAATTAGGTAACCCTCCCTACTCAATAAACAATAAAAATTAATAACAGACAACATTGTGTGATGAGGCAGCAAATACTGACTGTGCGAAAAGCGCTGAGTAATGGGAGTTCCTGGATATGGGTATGTCCGACTTTCCCACTGGATATTTCCCTCCTGGACAGCTCTTAGAAAACCATGGTAACACTGATAGGCAACACCTAATTAAGAGAAAATATAATTAAACAACATAAACACAAGAAAGGTTTTATTACAAGCATAGTAGTGACATTTGCACTGAGTTTATGACTCATTACTACAACCCAAAAATCCAAAAACATTTGTGTAAAATGAAGAAAATGCAAAAAAATCGGAAACCACATAAACACATATTATTCACAGTGAAACACAGTTAAAATATTTAATGCTTAAACTAAGAAATTGTTCCAATTGTCAGGAAAAAAATGTCATTTGAATTTGATGGTAGCCATGCATCTAAAAAGAGTTGAGACATGAGCAATAACAGACTGTAAAAGTAAACTTTACAAATAAATAAATAGCTGGAGGAGCATTTTCACTAATTATATTTATTAGCAGCAATTCAATAAGAGGATTAYGTATACAAGGCACCTTTGAGACTGAATCTCTTAAAAACATGTCTAAAATGTCTGAAAATGTTCCTCAAAAGAAACAAAGGCTTCAAATATCCCATCATCTACAGTTCATAATATCAAACGTGATGAGACTTACAGCTCTTTACTGGTAACTGGCTCAGTCATAGCCATCACTACATAAAAAATCTTTAAGAACGTGGAGAAATCTTGATGCTCTAAACACAAGGCCAAAAGTAAAAACTGCTTTTACATTTTCCACAAAATCTAAACTTTRACACAATTTAGGTTGTTTATAAACCAAGCATTCAGAGTAACCCCATCCCAGCCAACATAAAATGTACTTTTATACAAGATGCTACGAATACAATGATCATACCTTTAATGAGACGGTACCACTGCTTACAAACTAATGCAGCTGTCTTGTGCTCCTGATAAGGTGAGAGGAAGGACAAAATGTATTCGAGAACTTCCTCTGGCAGCTCAACCATCGTTCTRCCTTTTTCTTTGGCACCAATGTTCACGTCCCCGTCTTCTCTATATGACCCCATCTTTGCCTCCACCTCRTCTGCTATCCCAGCAGTCTCCGTACAGTCATCCTCTGTGTCCATGGCAACAAAGTATTCATCTTCATTGTCAGGGGAAAGGGACATAATTATCTGTTGAAACATGGGTTTATATTAAAGTCCATGAGTATGACCAGTTTCAGTTACATTTCTTCATATTACAGTGCTATTCCCCCCTCCCCTCTTTGCTCATCCTAAAATATCTACCCAGCATTATGTTCTGTGTTGTTCTTTCAACTGAATCTAAATGAGAATAAGGCCTTCCATGAACCAAAATAGATCTCATTTTTATTACACTTGAAAAGCAATACTCCGCATCAAATATTGTGGCAGTCAACTCACAGTACGTCAAACTAACCGGTCAATTGTTTGAAATTGATTTCGTCCTTTCTTTATACTGTGGAGCTGGCCTTTTCACTATGCACATTCCTTATATTATTAGCCCAGTCCAGCTAGCTACCTTTAGCGTCCACATAATGAATCACTCGATTGCTAATGCTAATAATCTCACAAAGTTACCTATTGTTACCTAAAACAGCAACGCACTTTAAATCTTGCCATTTTTAATAACTAGATAAAATATTTTCTTCGTAATTTTCCCCGTTCAGTTCACGTTCGCAAAGTGTTTTGATTCGCAGAGTATGTGCTAGCATGCAATGGGCTAATGCTAACGAACGTACCAGCATCAAGGAAGGCTAATGGTAGCCAACACCGATTTTGTTCATGTCACAATTTATTCCTTTACATTAGGCATCTTCTTTAGATCACATCTGACTAAACAAATAGAGAAATCCATTACATCTTCGCTGTCTTGTCGGTGTGACATCCTTCCAAGTCCACAGCCAGCATCAGCTAGTACTGCCTCTTAAGCTAACAGAGCTAGCTAGTATCCCCAGTGCTGTTTCCTCTGATCTGTGTTAGCTTCAGCGGAGTCTGTACGCGTGCTGCCTGATGTGACAGTGGTCTTATAAATATTGTACCACTGTGACAGCAAAGGGCCTGGTTTATTATATACCGTTGTTTTAGACGTCTTCTTTTCGGGGACTTCTCTGTGTGTGTTTCGCCTCTCGTCCGTCTCTGTATCAGCTCCGGCGACTCCTCCGCAGCCTCCACACAGTCGCCATCTTCCGCTCCGTTAGCAGCTTCCGCTTTCTCCCCAGCAGAGGGCAGCCTCTGCCCGCCCGGCTGTACGAGGGCGGGTCCCCACCTGCCGAGGGCTCCTAAGGATCACCAAACTTTAAGGACAGACTCCTATTTTTAATAAGTGTAAAAAAAAAAGTTACATATATTAGATGAAATATTTAAACTTGCTGATTAAGAAAACCAACAAAAGTTGAAAGTGAAATTAAAAGTGAAAAAATGCAGTAGCTATAAACATGGACAAATTCAAGGGTATAATCACCATCTTAAAATTAAAAATTTCTTAAAATTTTTTTTAATGTTTATTTCTGCTTTGACTGAAAAAAAAATAGAGAGAGAGAGAGAGAGAGAGAGAGAGAGAGAGCGCAGATATTGGAAGTGGGGGGACATGTCCCACCCCGTACCTTTGGCGGTTACGCCCATGGACAAATTGCAGACGAATTTCAATTTCTTAGACATTTTTATGCTTAATTCTCTATCAAATTAACCAATTATTGAAATCTGAATTGTTGCCTAATATTATTTTTATGTAAATATTTTTTGTAATTGAAGTTCCATCTCTATTGGTCTCAACAGAGATGGAACTTGAAGGCACAGTGTGTAGGATTTGTTGTTTTCAGCGACATCTAGTGATTGAGTGGTTGAATCATCCTCCCTGGTCCTCCCTCAGGGTGTCCTTCAGAGCTGGCAGCTCTGGGGGTTTCTGAGTCCCACCCTCCCCATCCCTCTGATACTGGTCCTCAAGCTCAGGTTCCTACTGGCCATCAAGCTCTGGTTCCTGTTGGCCCTCCAGCTCTGGTTCCTGTTGGGTCTCCTGCTGAGCCCTGTGCTCCTGAGGTTCCTGGGTCGTCAGCTGTCGCCTCAATGTCGCCTGGTTCGGCTGCCGTCGCCTCTTCGTCTCCTCTGTCGCCTTTGGTCACCATCGCCAAGGCTCTGGCTCCCTCAACCTCCGCCGGTTCCTCATTGGCTCCTGCCTCCTCCCTTGGCTCCACGTCTGCTCCTGCCTCCTCCCTTGGCTCCACGTCTGCTCCTGCCTCCTCCCTCTGGCTCTGCTCAGTTCCTGGGGCCTCATCGGACATGGAGTGGGGATCTCCAGGTCATCCTCCTGACTTTGGCCTCTGCGGCAGGGAGGTTCATGGCCGGCCTCCTGAACTTTTGTTTTTGGGACGTCAGGAGCCGTCCGTTATTGACAGATGTTGTGCTCTTGCTGTGCTTTTTTCAGTGCTGTCTTGGCTTTCCAGCTGTGGAAGAAATGTTCCACTAACTTTTTGCAGAGCCCAATGGCTCGAGCAATGCAGACATCATCTTTGACTGAATTTTCTGAAGAAATGGGAGAGACACTAGACAAATATTCTTGTTTAAATCTGTCAAAAATAATCAAAATTTATATTTTAAAAATTATTAGATCAAAAAGCAATGTCTAATGTAATTATTTATAAGGCAACAGCATGCCATGTTGTTTATTTTTTAAGCTTAACTTCATCTTTTATACTGCACTACATTATGAGTTTCATAAGTTTATCATGTTGTATTTACACTGCTCTACTTCATTTTGCCCGATCAGTCCTAATACAAAAACAAAATTAAATAGAATCATGACAAAATTAGCATTATACTACCAATATCACAAAAATATTAATTATCTATTAGAGTTATTCAAAATTATTTGATGATGTATAACACCTTTAGTGCTAAACAGATTTGTTAATTCCCACAGCTAATAATACACTTACCGATTGCAAGATGCAGTCTGTGTCCGAAACACTGAAGCCTGACCCAGTTGTTCAGTTTTGTGGCCTCCACTACGTTGGCACCATTGTCCGTGGGGATGCACACTTTTTGGTTTTCTTGAAGATCCCAGCTGGCTAGGACCTGACATAATCCATGGGCAATATTTTCACTGGTGTGRGACTCTGGGAAATACACAGTCTCTAGACACCGTGTTTAAGTTAGTTCAAAATCTTCAGTAAGGAAGTACACAGTGAGATGAAAGTTACAACTGTAACTACGGTTCTATGAATCCCGGATGACTGCCAGAGGTGGTGCTTCAAGCACTGGATGACTTATGTCAACAAAGTCACGAGGAATTTGCAAAACCCACAACACCACTTACCTCACTGGGATATAGGAGGAAGCTGCTGCAGAACACTTTGCAGGGGATGGGGCACCGCCACATTCACTCTGTAGAACCAAGCAAAGGTGTTCGGTGATGTCCAGGAGGCCACACTGCATATGATGTCCAGCGGCACTCCAGTCATGGCGGCCCACGAGGTCYTCAGGRCCCTTGTGGAATGACACTTCACAACCATTGGAAGTGATTGACCCATCGAGGCTTAAGCCTTATTGATTAGCCCCATGACCCAGTGTGAGAGTCGCAGCTTAAAAAGAGCTTGCCCTTTCCGAGGGCCTGGATAGCAGACAAAAAGATTATTTGTCTTTCGGAAAGGCGCTGTGGATCTCACATACGCCGACAGAGCACGAACGGGGCAAAGAAGCTCCGAGGGGGTCCCAGTGTTAAAACGGGCAAGCTGAAGCGGCTGTGTTCTGCCTGCCGCCACTGCCACCTTAGGGATAAAAGAAACATCAGGCCATAGTGTCACACCTGAGCCATCTGAGTTCCACCGACAGCGTGGCTCAGCTATAGATAATTTCTGCATCTTATTTTGTAAAGTGACACCACACTTTGGACCATTTTGCTTTTGACATCTCGAATATAATATATAATATATAACTGTTAACTGCAGCGGCACCTGTTAAGCCCCTCTCCATGAACTCAGTTCTACTCAGTTCACTTTGGGTCGGGTCGGTTCTGCTCAGTGTCCGTGTGTCTCCACGCAGTGGGTGTGATAATGTGCAGACCGACTGTAGCGGCTTCAGCTGTTGTGTTAAAAATAAAATAAAATAAAAAACCTGTTGTGGTCTTACCATTCGGACTTTACTTTTGTTTATTATCACGGTGCTGTTTAGCTAAGTGCTTGTGTAACCGTGGGTGGCCAGTTTTTTGGAAACCTCCTGTGATCTGTTCAGCTTCATCTCATTCACCTGCATTCACCTCTCTCCAGGAAGTGTTTGCAAGTTCTGCCTTTTTCAAAAAGCAGTTTAAGTTTACCTCAGATTATCATTCCTATACTTGTCAAAAATCATTAGTCTGAGCCTTTTCTTAAACAAACTCATGTTTGGACATTGCTTCAGTTCTTGATAGAATTTATTCCAGACCCTTACACCACTGAGGTGCACATTCTTTTCATAGTTGTTTGAACACTCCTGGTTCTGAAAATTAAGGTTTCCCCTGACATCACAACCCCCACTCTATTCATAAAAAGTTTCTGTATATTATCTGGTAGTTGTTTGTTCCTAGCTTTATACATCACTTGAGCTGTTTTAAATTCAACCYGGTCRAAGAGTTTGAACAAGCAGGATTTGGTAAATAACTCAGTAGTGTGATCCTGGAAGCCTACCTTATGAACCATTCTGATGGCTCCTTTCTGGAGAGTGCATAACGGTCTGAGTGAGGATTTGTAGGTGTTTCCCCAGACTTACACACAATAATTCAAAAATGACAAAATAAGCGAACAATATACAATATGCAGTGCTTTATTATTTAAAAAAATCTACCAGTAGCTTTACTGAGGACTGAGATACTTCTTGATATTTTAGCTTGAACATACTGAATTAGGGTTGGGCATAATCGTATCGTGTGTGATTAATCGTCAGAAAAACATTAATCGATTAATTTT